TCTAGGTTAATTCTTTTTGATCTCACCTTTTCTCTAGTTCCTGGTCCCCTTTTCCTATTGGCCTCAGTTGCTTTAAGGTATCTGCTTTAGTTTCTCTGCATTAAGGGCAACAAATGCTAGCTAGTTTTTTAGGTGTCTTACCTATCCTCACCCCTCCCCTTGTGTGCTCTCGCTTTTATCATGTGCTCATAGTCGAATCCCCTTGTTGTGTTTGCCCTTGATCTAATGTCCACATATGAGGGAGAACATACGATTTTTGGTCTTTTGAGCCAGGCTAACCTCACTCAGAATGATGTTCTCCAATTCCATCCATTTACCAGCGAATGATAACATTTCGTTCTTCTTCATGGCTGCATAAAATTCCATTGTGTATAGATACCACATTTTCTTAATCCATTCGTCAGTGCTGGGGCATCTTGGCTGTTTCCATAACTTGGCTATTGTGAATAGTGCCACAATAAACATGGATGTGCAGGTGCCTCTGGAGTAACAGTCTTTTGGGTATATCCCCAAGAGTGGTATTGCTGGATCAAATGGTAGATCGATGTCCAGCTTTTTAAGTAGCCTCCAAATTTTTTTCCAGAGTGGTTGTACTAGTCTACATTCCCACTAACAGTGTAAGAGGGTTCCTTTTTCCCGCATCCTCGCCAACACCTGTTGTTGGTGGTGTTGCTGATGATGGCTATTCTAACAGGGGTGAGGTGAAATCTTAGTGTGGTTTTAATTTGCGTTTCCTTTATTGCTAGAGATGGTGAGCATTTTTTCATGTGTTTTCTGGCCATTTAAATTTCTTCTTTTGAGAAAGTTCTGTTTAGTTCACATGCCCATTTCTTTATTGGTTCATTAGTTTTGGGAGAATTTAGTTTTTTAAGTTCCCTGTATATTCTGGTTATCAGTCCTTTGTCTGATGTATAATTGGCAAATATTTTCTCCCACTCTGTGGGTGTTCTCTTCAGTTTAGAGACCATTTCTTTTAATGAACAGAAGCTTTTTAGTTTTATGAGGTCCCATTTATCTATGCTATCTCTTAGTTGCTGTGCTGCTGGGGTTTCATTGAGAAAGTTCTTACCTATACCTACTAACTCCAGAGTATTTCCTACTCTTTCCTGTATCAACTTAAGAGTTTGTGGTCTGATATTAAGATCCTTGATCCATTTTGAGTTAATCTTGGTATAGGGTGATATACATGGATCTAGTTTCAGTTTTTTGCAGACTGCTAACCAGTTTTCCCAGCAGTTTTTGTTGAAGAGGCTGCTATTTCTCCATCGCATATTTTTAGCTCCTTTGTCAAAGATAAGTTGCTCATAGTTGTGTGGCTTCATATCTGGATCCTCTATTCTGTTCCACTGGTCTTCATGTCTGTTTTTGTGCCAGTACCATGCTGTTTTTATTGTTATTGCTTTGTAATATAGTTTGAAGTCAGGTATTGTGATACCTCCTGCATTGTTCCCACAAACTTTTATTTTCTTCTCTACTCTTGCTACACTTGCCAAAATCCTCTGGCTTGGGGTCTTCTCTGGGGTGTCACTGTGACCTCCTCAGATACCTCAGCTGGTATCTGTCCCTAGTCATTTGATACTCTAGATGTTCCATGATAACAATCAAAGTGAGAACCCTTCCTATTTACTAACTAGGGCTACTCACATTCTCCTACTTGTTCCTCATGAAATTTCTACTACTTGCTATAAAAAAACCTTCTTTATTCCTTCATTTCTCCCCTTATACTCCTTTGTTGCGTTGTCTCAAGACCCGCCTTAAAAGCTGTGGCTATTCCATGCCACACTTCAAATGTGTCTTTCCTGGAGACCCTTCTGCTAGGCATAGCTAACTCTGCAATGGGACAGGTGGCAGAGGACACAGCCCTTTCCCTCCCCAGGGATGCTTTTTTCTACAAGGCACTTTCTCATATAGTGAATTCAGGGGAATAAAGCAGCCATATATGATAAACTCTGTGCCTAGAATTCTGAGAATAGGTTAAAGAATTCCTTCGTGGTTGGGCAATTTCCTAGAGTACAATGTACATTTAAAAATTCCCTTTCTGAAGGTTTAACAATAAGCTCATTTTTTGCTATAATTACAAATTCTCGATAATCCCTTTTCCACCTTCCAGCACCCTCCTATGCCCACCAAGGAACCTGAACATCCTGGCTATAACTAGGGATTCTATTTAGCATAAAGACTATTCATTATGAAAGTTTCAATTTCCTCCATCTGTAAATATTCCAGAATATTTACATTCTGTCCTTGTCTTGTTCAGTTATCACAACAATGGTGAAAAATTGAGACTTTTCCTATTTTGTACTGAGGGAACTCAGGGTCAGAAAATAAAGTGCCCTGTATTACTCTTATTAAGATTCATGTTCTAGTCTTTCTGAAGCCCAAGTCCTTGTAGTTTCTAACAAACCACATTTTGTTTCTTTTTAACAAATGCTATCTGTTTACACATATCTTCTATCCAGTGAGTATTGCCTTTCTTACTGTTTCGCATCAGTGACACTTTCATGTGTACAGACACACACAAAGATTTCCATCTCTTTTGCATCAATGTCTGGATTTTCTCACTTGTGTCCTTCCCATCTCTCTGAGTGGACTACAATATATGTGTTTGCTTAATATCTGCCAACTGTTTAATTATTTGAGTATTTCTCTTAGTCATAAAATCAAGACTCATATGGACCATAAAGTTGATTTTTATTTAGGTAAGAAGCAAAAATAAGGTGATATTATAGATAGACAAAAAAGTTATAGGTCCACTTCAGAATTTCCTCAAGGTAAAATAATTTAGGACAATTTTCTCAGACATGACTCATACTGCTCACAGCTAATCTCATTAAGTAGATGCCTTAAGCATCTTCCACTCTAGGGATGTCTTTTTCTGCAGTGCCATATTTCTTTTCCTTGGTCATGGGAGATAACTTCCATGAGCATTTTATAATTTTTTGTTGTTGTTGTGAGCTCAACAACCTTGGGCTTTATCTGTGGGAAGCTGTGCAGCTTAGGTTGAGAGAGTTTCTATCCTGTGCTTTTACATTGGCTTCTGACTGATGTTACAGGGCGAGTATCAGCCTGAGACTTTTAATAATAAATATTAACTTTTCAGTTTAGTATACATTTTGATTTGAGGTGCGCTTTTAAAATGTTAAGAGAGACGGTTTCACTCATTGCCTAGGCCAAAGGGAATAAACGCTCTTCTTGAACTAATGAACATTTTTTCTTAGTCTACTTTTTCATTAGAGAAATACACTTTTGAGTCCTTGCAGGGACTCAGTTACAATTTTCTACTTCTCTTGAGACTGAGGTCTTTTCTCAGTCCTTATAGTATCATTTAAACCACAGACTTTTATTACTAGGACTTGTAATTCCCCCTTCCCATCCGTCTGGTCAACTTTAGCCACAGCTTTTGTTTCGAGTTATAAATTTCCTTGACTTGTCATTTAAGAATATCCTTTTCTTTTAAGTCGAGCTATATAGTTAAAAATGTTTGTAGGATATGTGCCATCTGTTAGATATCAGCCCAGGAAACACCTGCATCCCATGCAGAAATTCTGCTTACTCTTTTTTGAGTAACTTTACACCAGTGAGCTCTACACTGGCTCAAGTTCTTACCTAAGGTCAAGGAAGTAAAGTTAAGCCCTGGGTGGACTTATACAGACCACCAAAGACAGATCCTAGAGAATCCCTTGACATACTAGTGCCAGATGAACCAAACCATAGATGTCCAGTGAACCAAAGGTACAGTGCTAGACTTCCATGGTGTTGAAAGTCATTCTTAACACATTCATTCTTGCCCAAGAAGCTTTGGTTTGAGGAGTTTTTAGACTTTTTAATCCCAAAGTCAAATCAACAACTAAGATTAAATATCATTCCTTGATTACTTCATGTTGAAAACACCAATTGTTTCTAGGTGTTGTCTTAGCACACTTGAAACTTCATGTTGCATGATTTTTGAGATGATCTAGACTTTTTAGGAAGGAGTCCTGGGCTCACTTTAGGACTGGCAAACACATTTATGAATGAACCATAATAGAAAAGACTGAGCATGTGTTCTTGAAATTATGTTTGCATTAAATAGTTTATTTGAATGCAAAAATGAAATCACATATATGCTATACAGTATTTTATCCAGCGTTCACTCTGCTTCTACCAGAATGTAAGCCACACGAGAACGAAGATGACATCTGTCTAAGCCACCATTGCTTCCAGAGACTTGGTCAGTTCCTGATACAGAGTCACATTCAAAAAATGTAAAGTGAGTGAATGAGTGAATGAAACAGAAGTAGTAGAATAAGGAGCTGGTCATACTATGAAGTTCAATGCTATAAAGATGCGAGGGTTATCTGTTTATTACACATCCATCACTGTCATCCATATCCTATCCAACATCACTTGGGAATTAAGGGCAAGGTATCCTGTACAGTTCTCCCTGGACAGGTTTTAGAATGCCATTTCAGTCTTTCTTCCAGAGTCATGTATTTTATCATATGTCAATATTACATGTTATTTTATTTATGCAAAGATTCGGCATGATTATGTATACATTTACTGTGTGCTTTACTGTGTGTGCAGTTACTCAGGAACACCTTGTCACTCCCACTACTTGCAGTGTGGATTCCCTGATCTTCAGGTGAGAAGTCAATGCTTTCCACAATCAGTCCTTGGTCTGGTTTTCCAGCTTCATCTTCTACTACACTTCCCTGGGTCACTTTGTGCTAACCACATTGCAATTATCTTCACCAAACTTTCAAGCCTCTGTTCTTTGCTTATCTTTGCACTAAAGATATCCTCCTTTCCAACCTTCATGGATGAGAACAAATTGAAATGCCATCTTCTCCAGAAAGCCTTCTCCTATCTCACTCCAAGAGTGCATCAACGTTGTTACTGTTATGATTATTAAGGAACCAGCTGCCACTGAACACATACACAAACTCATGCACGCACACGTGCATACCATGCTCGTGTGCACACACACGCTCATACACTGAACCATTCTGTTTTTTCAGGAGGTGATTTTGACAGTCCTCTGCCTGATGACTCCAAGTTGGCAAAGACAATTTCAGAGTCGGTGGAAGCCTCCTTTTCTGGCCACATCCTAGCTCAACCTCCCATGAAACTCTCCCAGGACTCCTCTCTTCAGTCTTCAAAGAGAGCTCCTAAACACTTCAGAGAAAACATTTTGGATCATTCAAGTGAGTCCTTTTTAATCTTTGTCACACCCACGGAATTATTCCTTTCAGGGCCTGAGAATGGCTTAGTGGACTCGAATGTGCCCTTAGGAAGTAGGATCAAACTGCACAAGAAGGGGAGGATCTGGCTCTCTGGCAGAGTCTAGGTGATGCATTCCCAAAAGAGGGACTTGCTTCTGGATGTCATGGTAGAGTCATCAGAAGCATTGGATCAGCATTTTAGCTTTCAAAAACCCTGAAGATATTTGGTAAAACCTTAGGCTTCAATGAAGCCGAGGAGAAGGAGTACAGGTCTCTTAGTTTCCTGTATAGTTAGTTGTGTATTTGACATATTCCATAAGAAGAAGAAAAAGAAAAGCCAAAAAAGAACACTCTTTAATGCTATGCTCTCAGCATTAAGAAAGGAAAGAAAGAAAGGTATTGGTATCAGTATTTCCTGTCAGGAGAAAATTTTGAATTAGTTCAACAAGCATGTCTCTGAATCTCTGGTTTGCTAATATCAGATTAATCTTGTTTAGATGCAGTGTTGTAACACAGTGAAGAGAGCTGACTCTATCACCAGCTTGCCAAGATTCAGAGCCCCACTCCCCACTTGTTAGCCACAACTCCATGAACCACGTTAGAAGTTTACCAAACTTTAAACATAACATCTTCTTCTGTACATAGAGATAATCCTAGTTCCTACCTTATAATAACTAAAATGATTGATATAAAGCCTAGCATACTGTGTTATGTCTACTGAATACTCAACAGTTGTGCGGTTATTATTATATAAGACTAAGATTAAGTGGAAAATATTTTCTCTTTATTTGCCTTTACAAAATCATAAATACTGATTTCACTGACCATTCCTCCCACTCCCAAAGACCAAATACCCCAGTGCATTTTGTTCCTAGTGAAGCTGTCACATAAGTGTTGAAGGATTTTTTTCAAGTTCCCTTATCCAAGTATTGCAGTGTCAGAGAAGGCAACTTTCATTGCTTAGATAATTGCCAGGTTATCAACACACGATGAGGCTGACTCATCAACAACCACTTCCTCCAGGGAGCCACCTTCCTCTGTGCTGTCCAGCTCCCAGGGCTCTTCTCTGCCATGCCCTCTATCTGCACTGCTGTTGCATGCTTACCTCTGTGCCTCCCCCATTAGGCCATGAGCCTCCCTATTAATGGGCACAAGGTAAGAGTCATCCACAAATTCCAAACTGACCACATAGTACCTGGCATGCAGCATGCTCTCCAACTGCGGTAGACCAATTAATAAGTGTGCTAGCTCTGATTTACAGATAAGAATATTGCCAGACAGGTTGAACAAGCCTTGGTACTCTTTGCAAGGAGTTTTGCCAGATCAAGTGCATGATATTTGTTATGTCTAGAGTGTCTCTCCTACCTGTTGTACCTGGATGGCCCCTATTCTTCCTCAAAGTCCACGCTAAGTGGGACTATCTGTGAGGGGCCTTCTCTGTCCCTTCTGACTGGTGGAGGTTGCACTTTACTCCTTCATTCTGTATGTGTACCTCTACTGAACTATTTATTTTTCCCTTCCTGGCTTGGCTGTGTCATCCTGGGTAGATGGGATCTTCTTCTGTCTAGTGTTCACATATAGGTTTTCAGTGTGCACTCTGTTGCAAGTGATGCCCCAGGTGCTGAGTACATAGGCATATACATGACATCCTCTGTGTCAATCAGAGCTTTTGTGTTCCAGTGGCTGGAAACCCAACATACAATGGATTAATCAATAATGGAATTTTTTGACTCATGTCAATGAGAATTCTACGCATGGAACGCAGGATTCTGTCGTTCTCTACCTTCTGTTGTCTCTTTCCTGTGTCTATGTTGTTCTGTACAGGGGCATCTCTTTACAATAGTGTCTGGTGGCTCTGTGGCTATACTTTTGTAATTTATACCTTTGCCTATATCTTTCCTATCTAACAGAAAGAGATTCTATCTGTCTACAGTGATGACAGGAGGCCCAGAATTGAGTTTTATTGGTTCTAGAAAGGTTCCACTTATATGGCCAAAACAATCCTTTTGTTGATAAGTATGTGAAGCTCCAGAAAGCTTGGGATGGATCAAATGCTGACTGGGTGGAGGGGAATGGAGGACTCAGTTGTTCCACGTAAAGCATGCACTAAAAGGTGGGTAGAGGTGATTCCCTCAGGAAAACATGGATGCTGTTTTCAAAAGCAGCAAATAGATGCTGAGTTATCTCAACAGCATGCAGCCTGGTGGAAGAATATAAAGAAATTTTAATTGAGGTGAAGAGTGCTAGGGTTAATGGGAGCACAGTGGGGAATAGCTAAGGGCCAGTGAGGGAGCTGGAAGAATCAAGGAGGACTTCCTGATGGAGGCTACATTTGAGCTAAGCCAAAGTAGGTACTAAGTACATAGTTACTGAAGGAAGGAATCAGTGAATAACTGGCCCCAAATCACACAGCTCAACTCTTTGTAGAACTCACATTTCAACCAATTCATTTTCATTATGCACAGCTACTAATCCTTGCAGTTTTTCAAGCTGAATTCATGAATTTGTTTCTGTTAGGAAATGTTTTCCATATTCCACATGAAATCAGGGGAGGCAAAGAATAGAAAGCACTATGGAAGGAAGGTTGAGTGTTCAATCTAACCCACAATAACTTATTTAATTCACAGAATGCATAAAATACTACTTATGTACAGGGATACCATTCACCATTGCTGCCTTCCGAATTGCCAGTCTTCAGAATTCCACCTGCATTATGGGTTGACTAGGTTTTGTAGCTGACTCAATGCTGATTCACAGCAGATACAGCAAAAATAAATACATTCATAGCATAAAGGTATTCCAAGTTTTATACTGCTGTTACAAAATTGGACTTTGGAAACATTTGAAAAAATTAAATTGAAATGCTCCTGGGTTCCTTTAAGTCTTTGTGTGGTAACCCTTAAGCCAGCTCTGATTTCTTTAAGGTGATGAGTGTAACGTGCAATATCATGATTGGTTTGATTCTCATGTTTATAACTAATGGAGTCTTTGCATGCACTTCCACTGTGGTTTAACAGTGCTAAAGTATTTCATTGCTTGCAAAAAGTTTTGCAAGGACAAATAATTCATAGTATATGGGGTTTTTTGGTTTGGTTGGTTTTTTTTTTTTTTGCTCTTTAACAATCCCTGGGTTGCTAGGTTGCAATTGTCTCTCCCTGCCCCACTTCAGACAAAACATTATGTTCTGTCTAGATGTCATTTTTAAATCTTGGCTTGAGCACCTCAGAATTGTGTGACCTTGGACAATTTCATCATTTCTCTAAATCTCGAGCTTCACATTTGCAGAACTAAGATAATGGTGTCCACCTTGCATGATTGTGTTGAAATGAATTGATGAATGAAGGGTATTTTTGAATTATAAGGCATTATACAAATTTGGGGGATTATTTTTATTATCACCATCATAATCATCATCACCATTTTTAGAGTTCTGATATTAGCAGAAACTCTACAAAACCTTTCCCCAAATTGTGTGAGCAGCATAGTCTTATTTTATAGTCATAAAGGAAATATTATTTGTAGAGTTTTCCTAATGACTTGCCCTATATAACACTACATGGTTTTATCTTGTTACTTTTGACAAATTGCTTAAACTGACATACATGTGAAAGAAAAGAAGGTTTGGTACAAATTCTTGTTTCAGGATTATTTAATCAACAGTAGCTTCTAATTCCTTTATATTGCTTCTTCTTTTAGAAACCAGTCCTTTGAGAGAGGCCTCCTTTCAGACAGTTCTGCTTATTACATGCTTCATTATTTCCGCATGTGCAAGGTAATTCAGATTTCATTTTATGCAGCAGTGTTTCATAATTAATGAAGCTGTAATTGATTGATGATTTCTTTGCCTTATACTGCTAAGATTTGTTCATGCATCTGCCATGGTAAGTGGCTCTTCTCGCTCATCCTCCTTCTTTCAGTTCTCTAGCAAAGCACACAGAAACTAGTGCATTTAAAATTGGATTTTATCATGTATAATCCTTTGTTTAAAGACTCAGTGATTAAGATTAGGATCCAGTCTAAGTGCCCCTTTCTGGAACTTAAGGGAATTTGAAATTCTCTACTAGAGAACTTGGAGTTCCCACTGTGAATCTACTTTTCCTTTTGCAATTTTTATCCTAAGATTTGTAAATCTTAACAAGAACAATCAGAAAGAGATTCTCTAAGGAATGACAACACTTATTTGGCACTACCTGGGCACTGCAGTGGGAAACACCCACCATAGTAAACAATGGGTGTATTCAAAGAGATGGAGGCAAGGGGAAGTGTTTAAAGGAAAAGGAAAAAGCGGAGAGGACTGTTGCATCAGATATTTTGAAGCAACAATTTTTGTCTGCAGTGATTAACAATAAGGGTGACCTTAGCCTGAGACTGAATGACAGTTGTTAGGCACATACTCTTAGAGTAATTTTTGTATTAGGTTGTGATGGCCTCTTGCAAACTTGTAGTTCTGGCATTCTTTTGTAATAGTTACCATCAGGAAATCAAATGTAAGAATCCCTTCTTCTTAACTTCTCAGCTTTACTTACTTTTGTTAGAGTTTTTGTTAGACATAAATAACTCCATCTTGACTCTGACAACTTTTACATTCCTTTCATACATAAATTTTCTATGACAAGAGCACCCACTCAGCATCTCAGAGCACATAATGCTTGAGCCTGAGTCAGGCGCTTTTTTCTGCTCTACCTTCTGTCCCACATGTCTTTGCTCTGCCTTCTTGATCTTGCTTCTGAAACTCAAGGGCAGTGATCAAGTCCCATCAGTATTAAGCCCACTGTGCCTCAAAGCCTTTGCATTTGTCATTCCCTTTGTACGGTATAACTCTTCTCCAGAAAACCTTATAACCCATGACCTTACTTCTTCCTGGAATTTGTTCAAATGTGACATCATCAGAGAGTCCTTCCCTGACAACCCTGTGTGAACAGCACGTCACTCTTTCACAAATACACTATGCTTTACTTTTCTTCAGAGCACTTCCCACCCTTGACCTGTTACATGTTCACTTATGTAAATATTAATGATTTAGCTCAGGCTACAAGAATGTGAGTGAACCGAGAGCAGGCAGACTGTGTGTCACCTTCACTTCTGTATCCTTCATGCCAGGGGCTCTTTGATATTTGTTGAATCAATGAGACAAAGTGAATAATACAGTCCTGGACGCTTTACAGTCCTTCAACTCTGGGCAGAAAATGATGCCTATTTTCAAGTCTTGTCTCTTTAGGGTATAATACCTCATTGTCACTTGGGGAAGGTACTTTTTAAATACCAAGTCCTAGGTCCTATCCCCTGAGATACTAATTTAGTCTAGTGAGAATCAGCATTTTAAAACAAGCCTGCCAGTTAATTATGAGGTTAAAGAAGCATTTTTAGATCACAATAGAACCAAACAAACAAAAGAAGGGAGGCCCTGTGGTTAAAAATAGATTTGCAAAAATCTGCATTGCATATCCAAGTTGGAAAATTGTAATGTGCGTTGATATAATAAAGGCTCAGTGAGATCATGCACAGAAGAGGCATTTTAGCATTGCTGAACTTAGTATTCCCCAAACATTTGAGTTGATGGGGGATCCCTGTCTTTTAGTTCACAGGATTATTGGTGAAATGCTTCTCATAGATTCATTTATGTAGTTACTCCCTACTTTTAAGAGATAGAGTTTAACTCCCTATTTCTTGATAGTGAGCTGTGTTTAGAAACTTGTTCTCAAACCAAGGAGTAACGAAAGAGGGAATAAAGGTGCCTTTGCAATGGCAAGACCTGACCAATGCCATGTCAGGTGAATGAGGACATCAACACGCATGTTTTGTAGATTGCATGGACCCTTGACACAATGCAGTGAGAACGCACTTTAACTCTAGGGTCTTCAGGATCCAGTCTAACAATGAGAAAATACACAGGAAACCCAAATGAGGGCCTTCGACACATCTGAGCCATTCTCCTCAAAACTGCCAAGGTCATCAAAATCAAGCTGTCACAGCCTGGAGGAGCCTAAGGAGATGTGATGACTAACCAAGCATAATGTGCTATCTGGATGAGGTCCTGGAATAGAAAAATAAAGGACATGAGGGACAAAAACTGAAAAATCCAAATTTAAGTATTTATATTTCTGTATGGTCATGGATCTTTAGTTTATGCTCTGGGTTATAATTTAAAACATTTTAAAAGTTTTTCTTGCTTAAATTGTTCCCTTTTTGCCATTTATACCTTTTCTTTTAAATCCTGTCTTGTTTTCAGACACTACCAAATAATTTATGCTCTTGTATTTTTCCTTCCCCACCCTCAGTCATTTCTCTGAGAATTTCTGGGTTCTTTTATTGTAAAATATTGGATGATCCAGCTGTTGGATATACTTACAGCTACTGGGAAAATCTTGCTTCTAGGTCCCTTCAGTAGACAGAATGAGGAGGTATATACTATGCCTGTGTATTAACTCACATAGTTCATACTTGCTGAAAATAATTAGGTATCTGTCTACAAATATACTAAGCTAAACATGAGTTCATATTGATATATCCAACTCTAATCCAATACCACATGGTTCATTCCAGGCTTCTCCCTCATGTTATTTATCTGTAAGCTCCTGCTCCAGCACTTAGGAAATGAATTCCCACATCACCCATTGAATTTGTTCAATCCCTGTGTTTATGTGCAGAAGTTTCAGAATTGCTAACCATGACCCCCATAAGAAACAACCTTACTGATTGGACTACAGCATTTATGTATAATTCCTTTTGCCTTTGGTCTTAGAGTTCTAGTTGAAACTATTTCCTGAAGTTATTTAGCTCACCGCCTTCCCCATGCTTTCAATGAGGTTGCATCATACATTTGTGATACACTTAGATTCTTTTTTCTACATTTTATGCTGGGGCTTCCCAATCTCTAATTAATTTTTAAGTGTAAATGCATTAAGGTTTACTCCGTGCTATACAGTTCTGTGAGATTAGATAACTTCTTAACACCATGTATCCATCACTATAGTGCCACTGGGATATTTCCATCCTCAAAAAAAGTTATCTGTTCTTTCCTAGTCAAATTCTCCTCCTTTCCCAAACACCTGGAAGCCACTGGTCTTTTTCTATCCCTATAACCCAAAGAAATATGATGAACGACCAAGAATAATGTGTTATCTGGATAAGAAAAAAGGACATTATGCAAAACTAAGTTTCCCCTGTCTTCCTTTAGTTCCTTATCCTGTCAGAATGAATTCTTTCCCTCATCAAGCATTTTGTTTGTATATGCTTAATGAAGAAAGCTTTTTTTTTATAAGAAAAGATACCAACTCATGTCAACAATAAGTATGTCATTTTAACAGCTCATTCCTTTTTGTTGTTGGAAATAATCCCATTGTATGAATGTACCCCTGCTTGTGTAGACATTCACCTATTGAATAATGACTTGGTTGCTTTGCTTCCAGTTTTTGATGATTTTGAAAAAAGTTCCTAAAACAATCATGTGCAAAGTTTTTATAGATACAAGTCTTCATTTCAGTTGGGTACACATGAAGGCATGGTGCTTCAGCCTTATGTAAGAAGTCTACTTCTAAATTTGCAAGAAAGACCCAAACTACATTCCCAAGTGAATGAACCATTTTCATTCCCATCAGTAATGGATGACAGTTCCTATTGCTCTGTATCCTCACCAGCATTTGGTGTTGTTTTGTGGGTATTAACCATTCTAATAGATGTGCAGTGTATCTCACGTTTTAATTCATATCGCCTAATGACAAATATTGTTGATCATCTTTTATAATGTTTATCTTCCATATGTTTATCTTTGCTGAGGTGTCTGGGTGTGTGCTCAGATCTTTTGTGCATTTTTAATGGATTGGTTGTTTTCTTATTATTGAGTTTTAATTGTATTTATATATTCTGAGTAGAAGTCCTTTGTCATATATGTGATTTGCAAGTATGCTCTCCCAGACTGTGCATTTACTTTTCATTCTATAGTAGTGTCATTCACATACAGAAATTTTTTTCTTGATTTTCATAAAGTCCAATGAATCATTTTTTCTTTGATAGTTTGGGCATTTGGTGTTGTATGTACATTTGGCCTTGTATTAAACAATTCTTTGCCAAACACAAGGTTATCCAGTTTTTCTTTCATGTTTTCTTCTCAAAGTTTTTTTTTTTTTACTTTCGTGATTTACATTTTGGTCTGACTTATTTTATGTTAAATTTTGTTTAAAATAGAAGTATATATGAAGGTTCCTTATTTTGCATGTTGAGTATTTAATTTTTCCAACAACATTTTTGAAAGGACTGTCCTTTCCATGAATTGCTTTTGCATTTCTGCTACAATTCGGCTTACTATATCCACATGGGTTTATTTCTGGATGCTTTGCTCTCTCATTGATCTGTATGTCTACCTTTTTGCCAATACCACACTGTGTTTATTAATGTAGTTTCATAGTAAATCTTTTAGCTTTAAGTCTTTGTAAGTCTACAAGAACATGACACGTGTTAGAAATGTAGAATTAGTGTACTCAATCTAAGCAATCCTGTCATTTCAGATGGTTTACAGGAGGTGCAGTAGCCAATGTCTTCACATGTGCATTGATACTAACTATAGTTTGTAAGTAATTTTCCCCAAATTTCTGCTCTGATTCCTGTATTTCACTTAGCTTTTGGTAATTTAATTTTTTAACGTTTCTCTTTTCCACCCAAGACATTGTGAGATCACTGTTTCACAGCCTCGCCAGCTATTTCAAAACCACTGCCTGTGCTCAGTAAGTACTGCCTGAGGTGTCCTCCTTATCTAATCCATGATGCCAGAATATCCAAGAAAAGGTTCTGCTGAGTAACAGATGAACAGGAAAGGTCCTGCTCATTCATCCTGAAGAATATATTGCTGTTATTGCTAAAATTTGGTAGTACTGTCAACACACCTGACTTCTCAAAATATATAGAATTAATATTTAAGGCAACAAGACTTAGGGACTGGCCTAAAAAGAAGTTTCTTTTCAATCATTTTTAAAGTGCTTTTCTAGATTCATAGCATGGTATTTTATAAATATCTCATGTTAGGAGACCTTTATCTTACAGTTTTCCAAATGGCTGGCAAACTGCCCATGAAATGAGCTCAGTCAGGAATGGAACTTCTTTGCTCTCTCTTATTCACCTAATGATCCCCTCATGCTGACTGCTGTGGTATAGCATTTTTCAGATGATTCCTGAGGTGTGGGGGAGATGCTCACAGAATTTTAAGCAGTCTGCACTGCACTGTCCATTGCAAGATGGACCAAGTTAATTGCCTTCAGTTCATCGTGGCTGTGAAGGCCAGATCCCATGGCTTGGGGACTGAGATCTGTAATTCAAATTAGTTTTTTGGCCTTGGCTCTTGACAAAGGCCTACTTTCCTGTTCATGAAATCTTTGTGTTGATTTTCAAATCACAAAGGAGGTGAGTGAAGCTTTATTTTGTTTACAACTCTAGGCAATATTGATTTACCAACACTTTGAATGACACTTCCAATAATTTCTAGGCCACTTAGGTATCTAGGGGCAGTCACTGATTTAGCTAAGTTTTGTTGAATCTGACAGTTAGAAATATGAGTCTGGGGGTAACCCCCAAATGCTGGTACTTTAACGCTTATAAGTTAATGACATTAGTTTAAAACTCTTAAGATACCTCCTTCCTTCCTTCTACCTACACGTTTCTTTCAAGATCTATGTAAAGGGGTAGGCATACCTTATCCGATAAACTTCCCATGAAAAGATTTTCACTCAAAGGGCTATTTTAAAACCCAACTTTCAAAAGTAAAAATATTACTATGGTTTGTCAGACAGTGAGAATTGCATAAAGCCCCCCTCTCTCTGAGTCATATTAGCATGTACAATTAATTGCAAAGACAAATTATTATTTTGTACAGAGGCTCTGTGGAGAGGGCAGAGTTTCTCAAAGTATGGATGGGGACTGTCTGCTCTAGAATCTGCTAGGAATCCTGTATAAAGACAGATTTTCTGACCCTGATTCCAGTCCCTCTGAATCAAAGTTTTTGAGGGGTCTTAAATTTTTTTGGCAGTACTGGGGTTTGAACTCTGGGTTCCCTAGATGAGGAAGGGTGGGGAGTATAGGCAGGGAAGGATTTTGGGAAGAGGCAACATCAGACTTATAGCAGGTACTATAAAATGTTGCGTTTATAGCACCAGTCACTATGCTGAGAGGTTTGTTTATTCTCTGTGAAAAACAACTACATCAGGACCACATTTCTATGATACATAAACATTCCTATCTACTGCCTCACTTATGAGACAAGATCTTTGCTATGATTATTTATGTACATAATTTTACTTTTTCTTCTCTTGTTCTCTCTCCAATTACTCCTGTTCTCTCTCCAATTACTGTTTCCTGCCCACCTGGCCTCATAAACACACACTTTTGCATTTAAGACCTATGAAAACAAGGACTGTTGACTTTATTTTTGTATCTACACCAATGCCTTGAAAACCATAACTACTCCATAAATATTCATCAGATTGAAGGTATCTGCTGCATCATTTCTTGAAGTATTTCTTTTATAGCCAAGAGCTCTGTGCGTGTATATTAAAGATTCTACAACTCTCTCTCTCTCTCATCTAAACATATCCAGAAGCTAATAAGCCAAACACATGGTTATTAATATCAAGAGTCAAGAATGAGTCATACATCTCCTCTAACAATCAATGAGACCCTAAGGAAGTGGAGGACAAGCACTGGGTTCACTTCAGCATTAATGCAGCAGTCCTTCCCCGCCCATCCCTATCCCACACTGTGCAAGGGTAGATCCAATCAGGACCTCTTCTTTAGCGCTTCCTTCTCAAACCCTATCCTTTTTACACCACAGTGCAATTTCTTTTCAACTGCCTTCTTCCTTCAATTTAAAGTCTGCAACTCTAAGGACAGTTCACCTTTTCTTGTTCAACATTGGCCTGGAGGTCACATGCCATTGAAAATCAGCACAGGTATCCCATGTTGCCAGTGATGTATTAGAATCAGGGTGCATATTCTGCACTTTTACGACCTCTCAGTAACATATGGTTTACATTTGTTCCCTCTACTCAGGTACGTTCATATACTCTGTGATTGAGTAAATAAACTTTAGGGAAGGGAAACCTTCTCAATACCCTGTAGGCTGCTCTGCTGAAGGCAGGGATTAAAAATCTTCCTGGTAAAGACCTTCAGAAGAAGAAGGAGAAAGCACTGAGAACTGCCGTGGTTGAAACCAAATGTCAATAATTATATTAAATCGAGACTCCATTCTTCCTAGTTGTGCTCATTCAAGCTTGTTGTGTGTGCATGTGTGTGTGTGTGTGCACAAATGTTGACTAGTTCTGCATTTCCTGTGTATATGGATGAATTATGCATTTTTCTCCATTCTCCAATCTAGATTTGCCAAAATTTGACAACCAGTGAGAAATGCCGCTGATGAATGTCTTCAATCTGAGTATCCGGAAACTGTCCGACTTGCAGTCTACTTGCAATCAACTGCTTTATTGGAAGGAAGTGAGCAATTGGATAATTGAGTAAAAAATTGCAATTAGGGTATGTGATTTTTTTAAAAAGAAATCTCAGTTTCCCCTCATTTTGGTAATACACTCGTGAAAGTAATGTTAATTTGCCTTTCCTTTGCAAACACTGGCAGCTGAAAGGAAAAGGACTGGGGAAAGTAACAGAGGATAGAATGCTGGCAGTGAATATTTCCCTGTTATCCCCAGGGCCAAACATTAACTTTCCTTGAAGAATTCTGTGAGATGCTTTCAGCATTGCAGATTCCTGGGTCTTCTGTCTATGCCTATGCTTTACTGGCCTGCTTTAACTGAATAATAAAAATGAGTTTGTATGCCCAATGTTGGCTTGAAAATAAATGACTAGAGTTTGTACTACAACACAATGTTCTGGAAGTTCATTGTTCTCCCCAAATGTAGCTTGATATTAGACGGTGACAGTAGGTGCTGTGGTTTGGATGTTTGTCCCGTTCCCAAGTGTTCACATCTTGGGGCTTGAACATGTTAAGAGGTGGTGGAAACTTTAAGAGGTGGGGCCTGCTGGAATGTCCTTAGGTCACAGGGATCAAGTCCTCAGAAGGGATTAACACAGTCCTCATGGATCCTAGTTATTCCCTGTCTATTTCTCTGGCTTCCTGCCTCTCCCTCTCATACCACTCCTAGCATTGTGATGATATCCTCATGAGGCCCTGCCAGAGCCAAGATGGTGCTCCAGAACTGTAAGCCAATATACCTCTTTTCTTTATTAGGTACTTAGCCTCAGGGATTTCAAAATGGCAATAGGAAACAGACAAATATAGTAGATTATGGTTAATGGAAAATGGGCAGAAGGGAACCATTTTCTGGAAAGTACATTCTTCTTTTGAACCATTTCTTTCCTTCTTTCCTTCCTTCCTTCCTTCCTTCCTTTCTTTCTTTTTCTTGAAACAGGGTCTCACTATGTAGCTCAGGCTAGCCTTGAATTCATGCTCAATCTGCCTTAGCCTTCCAAGTGCTGGGATTACAGATGTGCACCACCATACCTTTGAACCATTTTCTTACCAAGTTTTTCACTTTTCTGGACTCATGGTCACCTTTTATTCAACTTGCAATTAAAATAGAATTATTATACAGAAAAAATCCTTAAGTGCAAAATAAAGATGAAACATTAAAGTGTTTTAAAACACATGAAAATGGTGCAGTTGTACAAAAACTGTTGTGTAGTAGAGGGGCTGTCTTCATAACTCTCATCTGTTAGATGAAAGCAAGACAGAAATTTCCTTCCATAATAATTTATTCTATGTTGTTTGCCTGGAAATTCTTGTGTGAATAAAAATGGCAATATCAAATACCATTTTTTATATCCTTTGCATTTACTCCATTTTTGGTTGAAAGAAATAATACCAATAAATGAGTGAAGCCATTAATAATTTATATATATTTGTATATGAATATAGTATATATACCTCACATATTTGCATGTATATCCATAAACCTTTTTATGTAACTATTGGCTATTTTTATGTCTTTGGAAAAATGTCTATTCAGGCCCTTTGTCCATTGTTTACTGGCTTATTTGTGTTTTTGCTTTAAATTGTGTGAGTTTCTAATATATTTTGGATATTTATTCTTTATCAGATATATGGTTTGCAACTATTTTCTCCCCATCCATAGCTTTCCTTTTCATTATTTTCTTCCCTGTGCAGAAGCTTTTTAGTTTAATGGAATTCCTCTTGTTTATTTTTGCTTTTGTTGACTCAGTTTTTGGTGTGATAGTCAAAAAAATCTCTGCCAAGAGCAACATGAACGAAATTTTTCCTTATGTTTTCTTCTGGAAGTTTTGTGATTTCAGGTGTTACATTTAGGTCTTCAGTCCATTACGCATTGATTATTGTATGTGGTGTGAGTTAAGGGTTTGGTTTCATTCCTTTGTAATTGGATATCCAGTCTTCCCAACACCAGTTATTGAAGACGCTATCCTTTCCCCCTAAGGTCTTCAAAAGTAGTTATTGACTAAGTTTTAAGATTATGTGATCACCACTACCCTAGGCGCCCACAAGTCTTCACACCTATGCTCCTCTGTTAATATTAAAGATCTAGCATACCAACTGCATGCTTTCTGGGAAGACTCATGTGACAGTTCTTCACTACTGTGTCAGATTCGCTGCAGACAGTTGAAGCCAAGCAAGAAGTGATAGCAGGTGTTGATTTGTGTGTGAGGGCTGTGCTAAGGCTTTGTCTCACTTTCAACTGGTTTTCTCTTCACAGTCCAGCTCTTATGCCTTCCTGAAGTGGTGAGAGTTTGCTGCTATGCTGATTTGTGCAACTATCTCAAGTCACTTTGTCAAATTTTGGTGGAAAAGAGCCACCAGCCAAATTCAGGTCTAGGGTTTCCACAAAATATTTCTAATCTCCAAATGAATTAAGGTAATTTCTGTTGCCAGGGCTTTCAGTAAGTGAATATCATGGCATCTGGGTCTGATTGGAGAATGGTTGACTTTGGGGGCAGAAGATTAGCCTGACTCCTGTCTGCTGGTGGACTGTCCTTCCACAGTGAGGGCAGTCAATGGCCTTGATCCCAAAGCAGCAACTAAAATCAGTCCACGACAGGTGCCCTATAATTTATTGTGACATGAGCACCTGGGTTCCCTTCTTTCCCTTCTGTCATTTTCTGACACCCTTCCAGACATGGAGCATGGGAGAGGTATGCAGTGTGGTTTGCAGCCAGCTTAGCATTGGCTCATGTCCCCTCCAACAGCATCATTGGATCAGTGTACCAAAGACTGAGTGGATCAAGGAGGATAAATGCTGATAATTGACTGCTTAATTCTGTCATTTAAATTTGAAATGAAAGCGGGCAAAACATTTATGATATTTATGTCAGAGTACCTTTGTGGGTACTTTCTCCCTTAGCCATCTTTAGAGTGGCCCTGGAAGCTCCCCTTTCAAGATGTCATGTTGACATAGGCTCCTTTGTGAGCTAGGCAGAAGAGTCAGAAAAACAAAAAACTTTAAAATTAAAATACCAGAAGTATGGAAAATGAAGCAAAATGAGTGTGTAATTCAATAAATTATTATAAGGCAAATGTCCTTTTAAGAATTAAATATAAAAAACAAAATTTTGCAGTTATACCACCAGCTACTCCCTCCTGACACCTCACTCTCAGAATCACCACTAGTCTGATTTACTTTTGATGTTATGAAAGTTTGAACTTGCTAGGCAAATACGCTATCACTTGGGCCATGTCTTCAGCCTTTTTAGATTTAGCTTATTTTTCACTTTTGCCCAAGCTGGCTTTGGACCACGATCCTTCTACCTCTGACTTCCGTGTAGCTGGGATTATGGACATGAAGCACCAGTCCAGCTTGTTTTTGAGATATGGTCTCACTTACCTTTTCCCCCTGGCTGGCCTCAAGCCACAATCCTCCCATCTCTACTTCTTAAATAGCTAAGATTACAAGCATGTACCGTCATGCCTGTCCTCACTATCCTGATTTTATGGTAATTACTTCTGTACCTTGCTTTGTAGTTTCATTGTCAGTGTATATCCTCAACACTATCATATAACACTGCTATTGTTTGCTTAACACACCACTGGGGTCTCTTTAATGCATATGTTCTTCCTCTGACTTCCATCCCTCCCACCCTTCGAAGGCTGTTCATTGTGGATCATTTGTCTTGACAGTTTCCTCCATTGCACTTTTGCTGGTAACATTCCTCTGATCAAGTTCAATGTCTCCCTCAGTCTTCTGCATTTCCTGCCAATAGATGGTTGATCACTTCTATCATTAAGGTTTAGTATTAAGGTTTGGGGACACAACTACTTCAAGGGTGGTGCCAGATTCTTCATCAAGAAGAACCCAATAAATTTTTTGTGATGCCAGAAGACATTTCTGCTCAGTGCTGAGACCTTAAGTACATTAGGCATTGACAATGAGGACATTCTACTTCAATCCTGCCTCCTTCATTTTTTTGTTACAATGTGTCTATACAGAGAATCATCTGCCATCTGATTGCCCAGGGGTTCCATTCTTATGGGAAAAGAAGAATGAATGCTTAATTCTTTCCCTTTACTTACCATTTTTCAGACAGAATTAGTTCCTTAGCATCTTTCAGATATGGTTAGGATGGTATGCATAATCATGAAGGAATTATGTTTCATATGCAGACTTTCTGAGAAAGCTTTAGTTCCCTAACTCTATGTGCTTTTTACTTTACCAAGATACCAAAAGTCCTGGAAAAGTAAATTAAGGGATAAGAAATGTGTAGGAAGTAACTCAACTTTTAAAATTCAGCCAGCATTCTTTTTTATTTTTTGAGAGCGTGTTATGTGCAAAATATAAAGCATACAGGTCTACAGTATTTTAAGACTTGGTGCCTGCCCAAAAGAAACTTCCTTTCTCACAGGGAAACAGGGCAGTATACAAAGTAAAAAGGGGAAGTAGCACATGGACGATGCTGGTGGGAGGTGCCAAAGACTTTGGTTAAGGTCTTAGTTTTGGATGCTGTAATAAAAAGCCATATATAGAGTGACTTAAATAGCAAACATTTATTTCTCATAGTTCTGAAGGTTGGGAAGTCTAAGGTCAAGGTACTGGCCAATTCAGTATCTGGTGAGAGCCCTCTTCCTTGTTTGCTGGCGGCCGTCTTCTGATTGCATCCTCACATAGTGAAGAGAGAAAGCCAGTGTCGCCTCTTTTTATAAAGCACTGAGCCCATTTGTGGGAAGGCTACCCTCATGACATAATCCTTTTCCAAAGCCCCACCTCCTAATACCATCATACTGTGGATTAAGGCTTCAACATATGAATTTGGTATGGAGGGCAGAAACAAATAAGCTATGATACTGACTTATCCAAAGTATGTGCCCAATTTAGGTAGAGATTCAATACTTGCTGAATGTAACATCAGTCTTCAGACTTTCACACGTTTTTCAAATATCTTTACCAAAGACATTATTTTGCTGCTCTATAAAATGCAAACAGTTTACACTCGTCTTACCTCATGCATCCATATAGAAATTTAATCAATCATTAAAATTATCGATCACCTGATAATTACCTGATGCTTTCTAGGAACCAGAATTTCTTTAATGAAGGAAAAATTATCCTATTCTCAAGGAGTAGATGTCTGCAGAGAGAGAACTGACTAAGAGTGCAATTTCAAGTAATAAATATGCTTAGGAGCCAAAATAAATACATTTATAGACAAGCATTAAAAAATACATTTACAAGACTTGGTGCACTCAAGTGGTAGAACACAAGGCTCTGTTCAATTCCCAGTACTGCAAAATAAATAAAGAATAAATTCACAATTTTCATTCATGTAGATGAATTCTTCCTCTAGGTTGATGAGAACTGGGCTATTGTGTTTTCTTGAGAGTAGAGAAAGGTGAGGCAAGAGAAAGAAGGCAAGTATCAAAACCAGGAAAAGGGGAAATGAAAATA